ATTCCCTATTTCATTTTACCTCTTTCCCAGGTACTATTTGAATCATCATATACAAGGAAATCGCACATGCCTTTCTTTAATGCATTCTAGCAAACTTATATTACTTTATGGTTGGTAACTGTAAATCACGGGGTAATGAGAGATGCAACATGAATATAGAATATGCTTCTTTTTTTGTATGAAGCTACTTCTTAAAAATTATCCCTGATGGTGTTAAATTGCCTACAATTTACTTGAAGCTAATGATAGTTATGTAGCCATCTGGAATATGGAAGAGTACTTATTTGTAAAACTTCTTTATAATAATATTTACACACAGAGCACTCCAAAGATTAAAGCACAGATGATGATGGAAGGCACAGTCATGATAAGCTACCAGCCATGTGGAGACAAAGTAAATTTTTTTTTGAATGTTACTTTTCTAATCCCACCACAAGACAAACAGATGTGGACTATCTTATTGATGAAATTGAAAGGCTTGGAAAGGATTTTATGATGCTTCATTGCGAACTTCAATATCCCATGTAAACATCAACTTTAAAAATGCTATTCCCAAATATTATAAGAAAGGAATACTGAAAATGTTATGAATGAGAAATGTTATGAATAAGATCGTCTAATTCTTATTCTATACTATATAAGATGAAAGGGAATCCAGTTTATACACACATATGCACTCATTTGTTAATGTATTTATTTGCTTTAATTCAATAAATATTTAGTACTTGTTAAATGTCAGGTTTCTTGGTGTGCTTAGGATACATCAGAAAGTAAAAGACAAAAACCTCTCTTCTTGTGAAGAGAAGAGAAATACCATTGCAGATATTTAGTACCTTAACATGTATTTTATGTTCTTGAAGTAACTGAATAAAGACTTCCTGTATTGAAATCATTTTCAGTATCTTGGAGTATTTCATCTCCATCAAGAATAAAATATATAAGATGTTTCTCATTTTTAAACAATTAGGATATATAAATATTCTATATTTTGGAGCAGAGAGAGGGAAGGAGATAACCAGCCTGACATACATGCCTTTAAGCCTTGCATTTTTATTCAGAAGTGCTATAGCTTGTATCAACCTTCTAATTTAACTCATTTTTTTCCATAACATCATTTTAATGTCCCTGAAGATCAACTGCAGTGACACCCTTTCGTAATTATCCAGAAATATATTAGCCACAGCAAACATTAAATGAAGAGTTCCCTTTTATGTCACATGGTTTGCTAACTTGCACAGTCTCATTTAATTCTTGATTAACATTATGATTTAAAGGATTTGTTGTCTTCACTCCATAAACGTGAAGGCTAAGGCTTAAAAAGTTTAATGTGTCTAACATCATGCAGTTGATAAGGAATAAAATCAAAATTTGAAGCTGATCATGTTTCTTCTCAAGTATAGATGGCAAAAAATCTGCCACATGCTTTGCTGCAATTCATGAACACCACCTACCAGCTGAGCTGTTTGTCAAATCATTTGATTTAAAAAGCTCTCTCTTCTCTGGACCTCAAGTAGAAGTAATAGTAGTCACTACCTCCCAGGACCATTGTGATGATAAAATCAAATAATTAGGTTAAGCATGTTATAAAATCTGAGTCACCTTGGTTGTGTTCATTTTTCATATTTTCAATTTTAACTACATTAGAGTCAGACTTAAATAAACATATACATACATATATACAACCAAATATTGTCATGCTTCCTCATTGCAGAAGGCATTGTGCCCTTTTGTTGTCTAAGAATTCATTTAACCAATAGAGATTGTATTCATTCCAGTTAAATATATTAGAACTTCCATATTTAAGAACTAAAAACATAGACTGGAATAGAAATTCTTTTCAATTATTCTTTTACCAAAGTTTTTCTCAAAGGAAACATAAAATTGATTATGCTACAGAATTTGTTTGCCATGTCTCTGTGAAATATAGAAAATAGCTATTTACTTATCTAACTGCACTATATGCCTTGGTATAAATTTCTGTTCTGGACAGGATGATTTGTTGCAAATGATGTATGCATTGTCAGAAACATACATCGGTATCTTTGCTATGTATTTTGCATAAATTCCTATCATTACAGAAATTTTATCAAACATATTAAATAATTTCTTCTAAAAAGTACATCTCATGTTTCTTTGTTCCTATATTCAAATAAAAACTATTTTAAATAATATACTAAATCATAACACTAATAGAATGCACACATTATGAAGATTGTAAAAGCTACTTAAAACAATGCTTTATTCCAATATTAGTGCTGAGTTAAGCAGGTATATTTTATAGAATTTCTAGAAATCTATAACCTGATTTATTCAGTAGTGTCCTGTTAATAACAAGGAATCTAATAAGAATAGCCAGGACAATCCGTAGCTAAAAAAACAAAGCTGGAGGCATCATGCTACCTGACTTTAAACTATACTACAAAGCTACAATAATCGAAACAGAGATATAGACTCATGGAACAGAACAGAAGCCTCAGAAATAATGACATTCATCTACGACAAACCTGACAAAAACAAGCAATGGGGAAAGGATTCCCTATTTAATAGATAGTGTTGGGAAAACTGACTAGCCATATGCAGAAAGCTGAAACTGGATCCCTTCCTTACATGTTATACAAAAATTAACTCCAGGTGGATTAAAGACTTAAACATAAGACCTAACACCATGAAAACCTAGGCAGCACCATTCAAAACATAGGCAGAGGCAAGGACTTCATGATTAAAACACCAAAAGCAACGGCAACAAAAGCCAAAATAGACAAATAGGATCAAATTAAACAAGAGTTTCTGCACAGCAAAAGAAATTATCATTAGAGTGTACTAGCAACCAACAGAATGGGAAAAAAATTTTGCAATCTACCCATCTGACAAAGGGCTAATAACCAGAATCTACAGAGAACTTAAATTTACAAGAAAACACCTCATCAAAAAGTGGGTGAAGGATATGAACAGACCCTTTTAAAAGAAGACATTTTTGCAGCCAACAAATGTAAAAAAAGCTCATCCCTGGTCATTAGAGAAATGCAAATCAAAATCACATTGAGATACCATCTCATGCCAGTTTGAATGGCAATCATTAAAAATCTAGAGACAACAGATGCTGGAGAGGATAGGGAGAAATAGGAATGGTTTTACATGATTGGTGGGAGTGCATATTAGTTCAGCCATTGTGGAAAACAGTGTGGCGATTCCTCAAGGATCTAGCAATAGAAACACCATTTGACCCAGCAATCCCTTTACTGGGTATATGTACCCAAAGGATTACAAATCATTTTATTATAAAGACAGATCCACACATATGTTTATTGAGCACTGTTCACAATAGCAAAAACTTGGAAACAACCCAAATGCCCATCAATGATAGACTGGATAAAGAAAATGTAGCATGCAGCCATAAAAAAGATGAGTCATGTCCTTTGCAGGGACAAGGATGAAGCTGGAAACCATCATTCTCAGCAAACTGACACAAGAACAGAAAACCAAACACTTCACGTTCTCAGTCATAAGTGGGTGTTGAACAATGAGAACAGATGGATACAGGGAGGGGAACATCACACACTGGGGCCTGTTGGGGAGTGGGGAGGCTAGCGGAGGGATGGGAGGATTGGGGAGGGCTAACATTAAAAGAAATACCTAATGTAGATGACAGGGGGATGGATGCAGCAAACCACCATAGCATGTGTATACCTATGTAATAATCCTGTGTGATTTGCACATGTACCCCAGAACTTAAAGTATAATAAAAAAATTAGAAAACATCTACAAAAAAAAGTAAGTATAGTCACAAAGCTTATAAATACAAAAAAGTATATAACAAAGAGATTAACACAAATTCTGGAATCAGCTTTCCTGGAATCAAATCCTAGCTTTGTTCCTTACTAACAATTTCTGTCTGTATTCACTTTCCCCATTAGTGTAATTGATAATAGTACTTCTTCACAGGTTGTATGAGAATTCGGTGAACTAATTTGTATATTTTAAGTTCTTAAAACTGCCTGGCATATAGTTAGCGCACAATACGTGTTAATATTATTAATATCACAATTTGACAAACTATGAACACATGCTTTGAAGGTGGTTTTTGTTTCGTTTTTGGTGGTAGGGTTTTGAATTCAGTGTTCTCTGTTTCAAAGCTCATGGAGACAGCAAGAAACACATTTGGATCAAAACAATGGATGTTACATTTGCTGAGCTGGATCCTGTGTTCCCAGGCAGACCAAGTCATCTTGGCTGCAGCAGACACCTCACAGTACAAACGGTAATTGGAACTATTAGCTTTGAAATTTTCTCCTGGCAACCCTGCAGTTCTGTTTGGGACCATTTTACCACTGCTGTCCCTTGGTAATATTTTATGACACATTCAATCTTTCACAGATAGCACACTCAGTAGTTCCAAGTCTAAGTTCCCCTATTCTTGTCCCTCAAATCATTTAGAGGTAAACAGAAATGGAAGTGAAGCTGTATCCAAATTATCCCTTGCTTAATCAAGAGCTGAAAGTATGACATAATGGAGACTTTACATTAATTCTGTTTGCCCAGATCACACATCTCAGGGAATAACTGACATAATTAAAAGTGTAATAACCTCATTCAACATTGTTAACTTTAGTGCATGTCTTCCATTTCAGTGATTTATGGATAACTTTGAAAGTCAACATTATTCAGCCCCTTTCAAATCCTATGGATTGATCATTTCATAATTACAGCAAGTACATTCAGTAACTGTTATAAATTAAATGTTCCTTTGAACAGATGATTTACTGTGACAGTTCAACAGTGCTCAATTTTGGTTACAATAACTCTTCACTGAACAGTTAAATGCTACCAAGAAATACAGTGAAAATATGTGACAATGCCAATTATAGAAGGATATTGTATAGCGTTATTAAATGTGGTCTCTACTTTTTCTTTATTTTCAAAGTGACAAATAGTTCAGTGATTTTTCTCCCTTATAAAACAGGCACAATTTTGCATCATTTTGATTTTGGTTTTATGCTTACCTTTCATCATGTAGCTCCAAGTCCATAAAAGGTCTTTAGACTCCTCCTTGAGTAAGGAAGGACTCAGAGTAGGACCTGGAATATAGGAGGGACCAAGTGAAGCTATATTACTATTGATTGATTTACACATTTACAAGTCCTCACAAAAATGCACACAACTAAATGTGATCATGTCTAAGTAAAAGTAGCTCTAAGGGACCTGACTAAATGTTATTACTTACTTGTTACATTTAGAACTTACTTAAAAATTATAAAAATGTAAGCTGTTTCTCCTTTTTTGGAACAGTACATGTGTTACAGACATAGGTAATCTAAAATTGGCACAGAAAACTCTATGTCAAAGTATTGCAGGCATCATAGTCAAAAGAACTAATGGTTTATTGTTTCCTCAATCTCCTTATAATTCTTTGTATAATAACATCTTAGTTAAAGCAGAAGCTTGGGATTCAGACCGACTGAAGTCAATACTTGTCCAAATTAAGACTAAAAATTTTAAAGTATTTAATCACCATACAAAATTAAAATACCAAAATCAATTTCATTTCTAAATGCTAGTAGTTAGCAAACTGAAAGTGAAATTATGTACAAAAGAACCAAAGGCAATAAAATTAATAACAATACACTTAACAAAAGAGGCACACAATAAACTGCAAAACATCACTGAGAGAAATGAAAGACCTAAGGAAACAGAAATAAATCTATGTTCATTATCAGAAGTCAGATTTCTTAAAAATGCTGTACTCTACAAATTAATCTACAGATACAGCAGAGTTCGTATCAAAATCCCAGCTATGTTTTCTTTTGGGTAAAATTTGGCAAGGATTTGAAAGTCATTTGACCAAACATGTTTCTAAAGAAGATACACACGTGCATGAAAAGATGATCAGTATCATTACCATTAAGGAAATGTAAATAGAAATCACAATAAGATATCACTTCATACCCATTAGGATGACTAAAATAAAAAGACAAACAGTATCAAGGGTTTAGGAGAATGTAGAAGAAACTGGAACCCTCCTCTATTTTGGGTAGAGAAATAAAATGGTTCAGTGACTTTGAAAATCAGTTGGCATTTCATCAAAATATTAAACATAGAGTTCCCATATGACCCAGCAATTCGACTCTTAGGTATTCCACTCCAAAAATATTAAATCTTATGTCCATATAAAAAATGAAGACATGGATGTTTATACTAGCAATATTCATAACAGCCAAACAGTGGAAAAAACCCAAATGCCCATCAAATGATGAATGAGCAAAATGTGGTAGAGTAATGTGGATTATACTTGGCAATAGAAAGGAATAGAGTATTGATACATGCTACAACATACATAAACCTTGAAAGCATTATGCTAAGTGATAAAAGCCAAGCACAAACATTCACATCTTGTATGATTTTGAAATGTCCAGAATAAGCAAATTCATAAATACAGGAAGAAGATTAGTGTTTTCAGGTGCTTGGGGTAGGGGAGAATGGGGAATGACTGCTAGTAAGTACAGAGATTCTTTTGGTGATGAAAAACGTGCTGGAAAATTAGATAATGATGACGGGTGCACAGCTCTTCGAATAAACTGGAAACTAATAATTGTGCACTTTAAAAAGGTGAGTGTTAATAAATTATACTGCAACAACTGTTATGTACGAAAAAAATCTTAAAAAAATTTTTTTGTGAAAGAAAGACATCCCAATTTTGGAGTTAGCTAAAATGGCAATACAGAAAAAAGACCAAGTACTTCAAAGTATGTAAAAATGATAAGACGGGTAAAAAAGCAGTTTACCATGCCTACATATGAACACTATTGTACAGATTTTCTATTAACCAAAATGTTAATTTGTATAGGGTAATTAAGAAGTCGGTTTCCTGTGTCATATAATAAATACATGATTAACTTTATAAAAATTGCCAAACAATTTTTAGAGTGGCTGTACTATTTTAAATTCCCACAGCAAAGTATGAGCATTCCCATTGCTTTATATCTTTTCCAAAACTTGGAATTTTTAATTATTTTTGTTTCAGTGCTTCTAATATGTGTAAGGTAGTATCCCATTGTGGCTTTAATATGAATTTACTTAATCACCTTTTTTTTTTAATTTTCAAGAGCTAGAGAGGACTGCACATTTTTATTTATGGAATACTGGGAACCAGTAGAAGGTTCTTAGGCAGGTCATAAGATGTAGCATATACATCGATGTCAAGACAAGTTTTAATTTGTGCTTTCTTTAGCTCCCATTACAACCCATCTCTAGCTAATTAAAGTCTGCAGACACATCCTAGAACTTGGCATAATCTTTTCCAGTGTTGGCTCAAATCAAAATAATCTGTGAAAATTTTAAATGACTGAGCTGCTGGATTCACTGCACGATCTTCTGACATGGGTTCTCCAGGACTTTGCCAGGCTTGATGTTTTTGCAAACTCTCCCATTGCAGAAGCAGGATTGGGAACACCGGCTACTATTCAGCAGGCCTGGAGTCCAAGAGAGTCTCCAACATAGTCACTACATAAGCCAATGTAAACTCCTCCTACCTCCAACCACTGTGACAACTGAACACTGGGTAACTTACATAGAGTCTCTTCCTCTGTTGAGAGGGATGCCAGTGTCTTCTTTTTTTTTGAGACGGAGTTTCCCTCTTGTTACCCAGGCTGGAATGCAATGGCGCGATCTCGGCTCACTGCAACTTCCGCCTCCTGGGTTCAGGCAATTCTCCTGCCTCAGCCTCCCGAGTAGCTGGGATTACAGGCACGCACCACCATGCCCAGCTAATTTTTTTTTGTACTTTTAGTAGAAACAGGGTTTCACCACATGTTGACCAGGATGGTCTCGATCTCTTGACCTCGTGATCCACCCGCCTCAGCCTCCCAAAGTGCTGGGATTACAGGCGTGAGCCACCGCGCCGGGCCTGCCAGTGTCTTCTTATAGCCCTTTATTCATTGCCTGAATTGTCACTCATCTACATGGTACATAATGGTATAGATAACTCTAAATGAATATGAAAATAGAATGTGAATTTTATTAAATTTGCCAAATACTTAATGAAATTAAGCAGAAATGTAACTTTGATGGTGTTTTCTTTACTCATTTACAATATGAAAGGAAAAAAGTCTTATTTTCATATGGTCTAATAGCAATAGAGAAATAAGAACCATCATAAAGACCTCAGCGTAGCCATAATTTATAATTTGTATAACCTCAAATTATCAGAATTTCTACTTTCAAGCAGAACCATATCTTAACCACAACAGAGCTGCCCTTTCCATGCATACCATTACCATAAACATGGATATATTGAGGTCAGGAGTTTGAGACCAGCCTGGGTAACATAATGACATCCTGTCTCTACAAAAATAATAATAGGAGGGGACTCAAGATGGCGCTGCGAGAACAACCCAGGATTGGAGCCCGCGTTGAATCTGCAAACGGTGAGTCAGTGCTGCATTTCCAGACTGATCTTTGTTGCCCACAGAACGGGGAAACTCCCAAGTATAAAAAGACACGGGACGCCAGGCAGTAGGTCTGCCTGGCGAAGCCGGCAGCCGGGGTGGCGGCGGCCGGCCCTACCCAGCAATCCCCACAGGGCGCGCTTGTCCGGGTGCCTTGTTGAACCGGCAGCCTGAGACTTGAGAGGGCTGGACTTGAGACTGAACGAGACTTGCACAGTAGCCCAGCCCAGGGGATTGCAGGGACAGATCGTTTGGGATACCCAGTGGGACGAACAAAACTGCGATTTCAAACTATCCCGGGCAGACGGTCCTAGACGCTCTGTGGGGGAGGGGCGTCCACCACTACGGAGGCAACCTGCCCCAACTGAGATACACGCCCACTGCTGACGCAGCCAGCCTTTGCCGAGGCACCCCGCCCCAACTGAGATACACGCCCACTGCTGACACAGCCAGCCGTTGCCGAGGCAACCCGTCCCTACTGAGATACACGCCCACTGCTGACGCAGCCAGCCGTTGCCGAGGCAACCCGCCCCAACTGAGATACACGCCCACTGCTGACGCAGCCAGCCTGTGCCGAGGCAACCCGCCCCAACTGAGATACACGCCCACTGCTGACGCAGCCAGCCGTTGCCGAGGCAACCCGTCCCTATTGAGATACACGCCCACTGCTGACGCAGCCTGCCTTTGCTGAGGCAACACGCTACAACGAAGAGACTCCGCCGCAGGGCGTGGCGGAGACCACAGCAGAGCCGGCAGGAACAGCACGAATCACACAACAGCAGGGAGGAGCCTCGGCAGCCAAACAGTGGCTAGTCTGCCTTCTAGCTGGGCAGGACACCTGATCGGACATCCAAAAATAAAGCCCAAACCCCTCAACACAGAGCATTTGAGAAAAAACAAAAGGGTTGTTTAATGAGCTGTGTTGCAGCAGAATCAAACATAGCAGCCTAACAGCCCTGAATGAACAACAGAGTGCACAGCTCAGCAATTAAACCCCTATAAAGTACAAACTGTCTCCTCAAGCAGCTCCCTGACCCCTCTATATCCAAAAGACTGTCATTAGGCAGGCATCATCCTGGGACAAAGAGAGCAGAAAAAGAAACTGGTAGCATCCCTCGCTGTGCCCCGGCTACTAGAGGTGCACCCCAGACAAGCAGGGTCTGAAGCGGACCTCAACAGTCGTACAGCGAAGGGGCTAGACTGGTAGAAGGAAAACCAAGCAACAGAAATACTTCATCATCAACATTCTGGGTGTCCACTCAGAGACCCAAACGAAAAGTCAGCAACTACGCAGACGACCAGCGGACAAATCCACAAAGATGGGAAGAAACCAGCGCAAAAAGGAGGAAAACACCCGAAACCAGAACACATCGCCTCCTAGAAAGGACCAAAACTCCTCACCAGCAAGGGAACAAAGCTGGACGGAGAATGACTGTGACGAAATGACGGAATTAGACTTCAGAAGATGGATAATGAGAAACTTTTGTGAGCAATAGCTGAATTGACCAAGCAGAAGAAAGAATATCTGAAGTCGAAGACCAACTCAATGAAATAAAACGAGAAACCAAGATCAGAGAAAAAAGCGCAAAAAGGAATGAACAAAGTCTCCAAGAAATGTGGGACTATGTGAAAAGACCTAACCTACGTTTGATAGGTGTACCAGAAGGGGACGAAGAGAATGAATCCCAGCTGGAAAATACTCTTCAGGACATCATCCAGGAAAATTTCCCCCACCTAGCAAGACAAGCCAACACTCAATAGCAGGAAATACAGAGAACACCACAAAGATATTCCGCAAGAAGAGCAACCCCAAGGCACATAATCGTCAGATTCAACAGGGTTGAAATAAAGGAGAGAATACTAAGGGCAGCCAGAGAGAAAGGTCGGGTCACCCACAAAGGGAAGCCCATCAGACTCACAGCAGATCTCTCGGCAGAAACACTACAAGCCAGAAGAGAGTGGGGGCCAATATTCAACATTCTTAAAGAAAAGAACTTTCAACCCAGAATATCATATCCAGCCAAACTGAGCTTCAGAAGTGAAGGAAGAATAAAATCCTTTGCGAACAAGCAAGTACTCAGAGATTTTGTCACCACCAGGCCTGCTTTACAAGAGCTCCTAAAAGAGGCACTACACATAGAAAGGATCAATCAGTACCAGCCATTCCAAAATCACACTGAATGCTAAAGAGCTTCAACATAATGAAGAATCTACAACAACTAACAGGCAAAACAGCCACTTAGCATAAAAATGGCAGTATCAAATTCACACATAACAATATTAACCCTAAATGTAAATGGACTAAATGCACCAATCAAAAGACACAGACTGGCAAATTGGATAAAAATCCAAAACCCATCAGTGTGCTGTATCCAGGAAACCCATCTCACATGCAAGGATACACAAAGGCTCAAAATAAAGGGATGGAGGAAGATTTACCAAGCTAATGGAAAGCAAAAAAAAGCAGGAGTTGCAATTCTCATCTCTGATAAAATAGACTTTAAAGCAACAAAGATCAAAAGAGACAAAGAAGGCCATTACATAATGGTAAAAGGATCGATACAACAAGAAGAGCTAACGATCCTAAACATATATGGACCCAACACAGGAGCACCCAGATACATAAGGCAAGTTCTTAATGACTTACAGAAGGACTTAGACTCCCACACAATAATAGTGGGAGACTTTAACACTCCACTGTCAATACTAGACAGATCAACCAGACAGAAAATCAACAAGGATACCCAGGGCTTGAACTCAGACCTGGAGCAAGCAAACCTGGTGGACATTTACAGAACTCTCCACCCCAAATCCACAGAATACACATTCTTCTCAGCACCACATCACACCTACTCTAAAATTGACCACATAATTGGAAGTAAAGCACTGCTCAACAAATGCAAAACAACTGAAATCATAACAAACAGCCTCTCAGACCATAGTGCAATCAAGTTAGAACTCAGAATTCAGAAACCGACCCAGAACCGCACAGCTTCATGGAAACTGAACAACTGGCTCTTGAATGTTGACTGGGTAAACAACGAAATGAAGGCAGAAATAAAGAAGTTCTTCGAAACCAATGAGAACGAAGACACAACGTGCCAGAACCTCTGGGACACATTTAAAGCAGTCTCTAGAGGAAAGTATATAGCAATAAGTGCCCATATGAGGAGAATGGAGAGATCCAAAATTGACACCCTATCGTCAAAATTGAAAGAGCTAGAGGAGCAAGATCAAAAAAACTCAAAACCCAGCAGAAGACAAGAAATTACTAAGATCAGAGCTGAGCTGAAGGAGATTGAGACACGAAAAAACCCTTCAAAAAATCAATAAATCCAAGAGCTGGTTTTTTGAAAAGATCAACAAAATAGACAGACCACTAGCCAGATTGATTAAAAAGAAAAGAGAGAACAACCAAATAGATGCAATAAAAAATGATAAAGGGGAAATCACCACAGATTCCACAGAAATTCAAACCATCATCAGAGAATATTACAAACAACTCTATGCACATAAACTAGTAAACCTGGAAGAAATGGATAAATTCCTGGACTCCTGTGTCCTCCCAAGCCTAAACCAGGAGGAAGCCGAAACTATGAATAGACCAATAACAAGGTCTGAAGTTGAGGCAGCAATTAAGAGCCTACCTCACAAAAAAAGCCCAGGTCCAGACGGGTTCACAGCCGAATTCTACCAGACACACAAGGAGGAGCTGGTACCATTCCTTCTAAAACTATTTCAAACAATCCAAAAAGAGGGAATCCTTCCCAAATCATTTTATGAGACAAACATCATCCTGATACCAAAACCCGGCAGAGACCCAACGAGAAAAGAAAACTTCAGGCCAATATCCATGATGAACATAGATGCAAAAATCTTCAATAAAATATTGGCAAGCCGATTGCAACAGCAAATCAAAAAACTTATTCATCATGATCAAGTAGGATTCATCCCAGGGATGCAAGGCTGGTTCAACATACGCAAGTCTATCAACGTAATTCACCACATAAACAGAACCAAGGACAAAAACCACATGATTATCTCAATTGACGCAGAGAAGGCATTTGACAAAATTCAACAGCCCTTTATGCTAAAAACCCTCAATAAACTCGGTATTGATGGAACGTATCTCAAAGTAATAAAAGCTATTTATGACAAACCAACAGCCAATATCATACTGAATGGGCAAAAACTGGAAGCATTCCCTTTGAAATCTGGTACTAGACAAGGATGCCCTCTCTCACCACTCCTATTCAATATAGTACTGGAAGTTCTAGCCAGAGCAATCAGGCAAGAAAAAGAAATAAAGGGTATTCAAATAGGAAAGGTGGAAGCCAAATTGTCTCTATTTGCAGACGACATGATAGTATACCTAGAAGACCCCATCACCTCAGCCCAAAAACTCCTGAAACTGATAAACAACTTCAGCAAAGTCTCAGGATATAAAATCAATGTGCAAAAATCACAAGCATTTGTCTACACCAATAACAGACTTAAAGAAAGCCAAATCAAGAGCGAACTGCCATTCGCAATTGCTACAAAAAGAATAAAATACCTTGGAATACAACTCACAAGGAACGTAAGGGACCTCTTCAAGGAGAACTACAAACCACTGCTCAACGAAATCAGAGAGGACACAAACAGATGGAGAAAC